TTTTTTTTTTTAACACTTTTAAATGATGTTTATTTTTGCCGTGTAAAACAGATCAGCGCGGCTTTATGGGAGGACAGTATCTCTATTAGACACTGTTGTCAGTACAATTTGAATTTTAAAAATCACTTTTTTTTGGCTATTTAAGATTTCCAAGAAAAAAAAAACTTTTTTCTTTTACAATTTCTTTAGATTTTTGTACCTTAGTCGGTATCACCACAAGGTTTAATTTTCTCTATTTTATTTGAAAAAAACAAAAAAACAATAATGCTATCAAATAAACACCTACTCTTTGTTGGCAAAAATAATTTTTTCAACAAGTTTAAGAATAAAAATTTTTAAAAAAATGAAGGTATCAAAATTGAGTAAACAGATCAGCGGCTTTATGGGAGGACAGCAAAGAGCAATTTTTGGCATTTATGAGTAACAAGTGGTTTTAGATGATGACAAAAAATTTTGAACTTATTCTGCTGATAATTCTGCAGCAAATACTACAAGATAGCAAAAAAAAAAAATTAAATTTTCATCTTAAACTGCCTAATCATCTAAATGACATTCTGCAGCAGAAAAAGATTAGAATGATTATTCTATCAAATAAGGTAGTCGACAACTGAAAGACTAAATTAGCTATTAGGCAAAGGAAAATTTTTTTTTGAACAGAAGCAAATAATCTACGCTTCAATTGAATTTTTACTGTATCAAAAATTGAATTTTAAATTTTAAAGAAATTTATACAGAGTCTATCGGTTGAATGTTCATCAGAATGACCAAGTTTATTAAGCTTTTCTTATAATCTTTATAAGATGTACATTGCTTTAAGTTTTTTATAGTAAATTTTTCAGAAATTTCAATAAATCGTTTATTACGAGCAAAAACTGTTGCTTTTCAGTTTAAGAAATATGTTCAAAACTCTCAGAAAACCATAGTTTTTTTTTGTAAAAATTCTGTGAAATACTTCTAAATTTCAAGATAAAATTCTGGGATTATATATGACAAAAAAGTCACATTATTTTTTTTTTTTGCCTCTTTAAACTCTTCTTACTGTTATTGATAAAAAAAAAGA